TTAAGATGGTAAATTTCATGCTATATTTTATCACAAATAAATTGAAAAAAAAAAAGATACATACATGAACCAACACTTGAGAGAAGAAACACAGATGGCTTAAAACAACAAATAAGATAACACATTGAGGTACTATCTCACACCTACTGAATTTGGCAAAAATCAAGAAGTCATACAACACTAAGTGTTGACAAGAATTCAGAGCAGTGGGAACTCTTTTACTGATGAGGGAGTGTGAACTAGTTTGATCATTTTGAGAAAAAATTTGTCATTGTATAGGAAATTGAACATGTGCATACATTCAAGCTTATACATTCCATTCCTAGCTACACAGCCTAGAGAAACTCTTGCACATGTACACAGAGACATGTGCAAATAAAAACAACCCAAATGTCTATCACAAGGGGGGAATCTATGGAATGTCCATAAATGAAAGGCTATACTAGAGTGAACACAAACGAACTACAGCTTTACACATCAATATGGATAAATGTGAGTAGAATATGTATATATTTTTTTGAGTTGGAGTCTCACTCTGTCACCCAGACTGGAGTGCAGTGGCCGCTCCCGGCCACCGCAGCCTCAACCTGCTGGGCTCCAGCGATCCTTCCGCCTCAACTTTCCAAGTAGCCAGAATTATAGGCATGCGCTACCACGCCCGGCTGATTTTTTTGTAGAGATGAGGTCTCGCCTGCCCAGGCGGGTCTTGAACCTGCGGGCTCAGGCAATCCACTCACCTCAGCCTCCCAAAGCGCGGGATTACAGGCTGAGCCACCGAGCCCGGCTGTGAGTAGAATATTGAACAACAACGACAAAAAAGTCCCAGAAGAACACACACTGCACTATTCAACTTATGCAAAGTTTACAAACAGGCAAAATTGGCCAGCCTCGGTGGCTCAGTCTGTAATCCCAGGCAAGTGAATTGCCTGAGCCCACAGGTTCGAGAACAACCTGGGCAACTTGGCGAAACCTTGTCTCTCCAATAAATAAAAAAATTAGCTTGGCGTGACAGCATGCGACTGTAGTTCTGGTTACTTGGAAGGCTGAGGTAGAGGGATCACCAGATCCCAGCGGGTCGATGCTGGGATGGCCATGAGCCTGCCACTGCACTCCAGCCTGGGCGACAGTGTGATGCTAACTCAAAAAACAAACAAACAAAAAAACAGGCAAAATTAAGCAATAGGTTAAGTTAGGATTATAAAAAATACACAGAAGGTACAGTGGAAGAACTGTATTAGTTTACTAGTAGCTCCATAACAAAGTACCACAGATTAAGTGATTTAAACAACAAAAGTGTATCATCTCTCGTTCTGGAGGCCAGATGCTTGAGATCAATGTGTCAGCAGGGTTGGTTCCTTTTGAGGTCTTTCTCCTTGCCTTGTAGATGGCCATCTTCTTCCTGTGTGTTCACATAGTCTTCTCTCTGTCCATGTCTGCACCCTGATTTTCTCTTCTTGTAAGACCATATTGGAACAGAGACTCCTCAATAACTTCATTTCACCTTAATGACCTCACTAATGATCCTATCTTCAAAGACAACCACATTCTGAGGTACTGGAGGTCAGGACTTCAACATATGAATTTTAGGGGTACACACTCAGTCCAGAACACCTCCACATGTCTTTGGGCTATGGGGTAGCCAGGAGGTTAAAATAAACTTTTTTTTTAAGAGTCAAAGTCTCACTCTTTTGCTCAGGTTGGAGTTCAGTGGCATAATCACAGCTACTGCAGCCTCGACCTGTTGGGCTCAGGTGATCCTTCAGCCTCAGCCTTCCAAGTAGCTGATACTACAGGTGTGCACCACCCTACCTGGCTAATTTTTTTATTTGTTGTAGAGATAAGGTCTTGCCAAGTTGCCCAGGTTGGTCATGAACCTCTAGGCTCAGGCCATCCTCTCGCCTCGGCCTGGCAAACTGCTGGGATTACAGGTGTGAGCCATCAAGCCCTGTGGCTGAATTGAATTGAACAAAAAGTTAATTAGCACATATTCTGTTCCAGAGAAACAGAGCTGAGTTTCGAAGGACATTTGGAATTAACTGGATGATAAAGTATTGAGTATTAATCTTTTAGCACTGCACATAAATAATTCAAGTGTGGACTAGAGGAGGTATTTGGGTGGTAGACAATGCAGAGTGAATTAGGGTGACAACACAGTTATAGAAGACGGCACAGTTAGCACTGTTGAAGATATCGACACACTAGGCTTGTGTGTTAGTCCATTCTGTGTTGCTATAGCAGAATACCTGAGACGGGGTAGCTTGTAAACAACAAAAATTTTATTCCTTACAGTTCTGGAGGGTGGGAAGGCCAAGATCAAGGTGCCAGCATCTAATGTGGGTTGTTCTCTGCTTCCAAAATGGTGCATTGAATACTGTGTCCTGAGATGTCAAAAGGTAAAGGACAAAAAAGTACCAAATTCCTCAAGTCCTTTTGCAACAGCATTAACCCCATGTACTAAACATTTCATAAAAGGCTATCCCTCCCTATACTGTTGCACTGGGGATTAAGTTTCTAATGCATGAATTTTGGGGAACACATTCAGCAAGTTGGCTACTAAATAGAGGGATGAATAACTGAATAAATGATTTCTGTGTGCCTCTAGAATCAGCTGAGGGCTAAGCAGAAGAGACACAAACCTGTTGCTGAAAGAATCTGAGTTTCATATGGGTCTCTTCCACTTGCATCGGAACTCCACTGAAACTCCACAGGAGAGTCTTAGAAAATGATCATCTAACCTAGACCTTACCAAAATTAATTCAGAAAATGTCACCTACCAGTCCCAAGAACTTAATATTAGGTGGAACCAATATTAAGCTCATTCTTAGGTGGAACCAATATTAAGCTCATTCTTGATCATTTTTTTACTGAAAAAAGTGGTCACACTATATGGCTCAACCTAAATGAAAGCCTGGGTAATTTGTTTTTATTTTTAATAGAATTAAAAAAAAAGATAAAGCAGTCCACTAAACTGAAACTAGCGGGTGTTGGTACAGACTGCAATAGAAAGGTCAGGAAAGTAGAAACCCATCCCCCCAAATATAGCTTCTCCCCAACATGGGCAATCTTAAAATACATTTTAATCATGAAAGCCAGGAGGCAAAGGCTTAGTGGCCTTCTCTCACGATGTAAATTGCATTGGATTTATGAAACTTTTATTTTCATTGCACAAGTTTTATGATATTCAAGTCTTATTGGGACATTACTTTTAGTGACTGGGTTGCTTAGAACAAAGACTCATCAAGCTCCACTACTGAATGGTTCTATTGTGATTAGCTATAAATCAGTTTTATTGTCAGTGTTGGACTAATCAGAGATTAGCTCATGCCTAAAAGCATAACTGAAAAAATAACCCTCCACCAAGAAACAGGATTTTGTTGAATTTTTCTGTTTATCTGTATATAACTTGCAATCATCCAGCACCGAGAAGGGCTCTCTTAGGTAATATGCTAAGCTTGGGCCACATTCATAAAAATAAAAGGCACCAAAAGGAATGCTGTTCTTGATTTACCTGCACCGAAGACAGTAATGCTTGTTAATTTGGAACAACAGTAAAGATCCTATGAATAGGCTGTCACTTTTAGTCAGTCCTCAAAATTATTTGGGTACTGTCAGATGTCAAGAACATGGGGCATGCACTGTCTACAGTATACTGTTCCTGGATATTTTTTTGGACATTTAGTCTAAAATAGCACCCAATCTTATCAGCAAGCATTCTCCATTTAAGGGAAAATAGAAAAACTTTTATCTCCATTGAATTATGACATACGGTTACTTTCATGGAATCCAGAGTAATGAGGCAAATTCTCAGATAAAACTGGGAAGCTAGTTGAAGACATGACTAATTAAATCAGCATAGAATTTCTGAGTTATAGAAGTAAATGAAGCAAGCTCTACATCAGCAGCCCATATATATATTACTATATTTATTTTTGAATTGACATCTTTCTGTTGTCCAGTCTGGAGTGCAGTGGCATGATTACAGCTTCCTGCAGACTTGACCTCCTGGGCTCAGGCAATCTTTCCACCTCAGCCTCCCAAGTAGCTGGGACAACAGGTGTGCCACTATGCCCAGGTAAATTTTTTAGAAAGGGTCTTGCTATGTTTTCTCGGCTGATCTCAAACTCCTGGATTCATGCAATTCTCCCGCCTCATCTTCCCAAAGTGCTGGGATTATAGGGGTGAGCCATTGTGCCTGGTCAGCAGCAGCAATTTGTCTAAAAGGGCATTAGAAATCTCTCTGAAGTGGGAATAATTAAAAAATGGCTAAAAAAAATTATACTTCCTATAAGTGGGATGCTATGATAGTAACAGAGCCGGCTCAGCCTTTTCCAGAGGACAGAAGATGTGTGATACATTCACTGAAGTCATGGACAAGATGTTCTCCAATGCCATCATGAAGTCTAGTGCTAAACGGGACCTGGAGGTCCCCAAGGGCACTCCAGCTGGCTAGCTTTGCCTGGTTCAGTCCCATAGGCAGGAAGCATGAACAGGGAGGAAGGCAGAGCATGGAGTCTGTCAGACATGGAATCCTCTGTCATACAGATAAGATTATGAAATCTCCATCTGCCAAGAGAATTCAGTGGGTAAGGAATGGGGCTGGCCCACGGTAAGTTCTTAATATGGGTGTGCTCTTGACCTTCCTACTTCTGTTGAACTGAATTTTGCAGTTATTACTTCTCAAAAAAAGTGAGATTTCTATCCTCTGGGCTATAAAGAACTCCTCATCCATTCAAACACAGGAAGGCAGGAATCTTGTCACCCTGGAACTTTCCTCAACCATTCCTCATTCCTCTCAAAATTTACCTATCCCAGGGTCCACTTTCTTTGGTCATGCTGAACCAATAGAGGGCGCCAGCACTAACTGGAAGTTGGCTAGCTAACCATTCAGCCATCAACTCAATCTGCCCATCAGGATAATCCAAGAGAGCAAAGCCTTATCTTCACCATCAGGGTATGTACGACGTCTGAGAGCATCAAGGTGAAGAAGTACAAAACTATGGTTATGGGTTGTTCTTTTCGCTTTTATTTAAATAAATACAATATTTGTACATAGCCTGATTAAGTTCCCCATCACATCTCTTTTTCAGGCTAGTGTGCTTAGACTTATAGTTCTCTACATTGCAACCAGTGTTTTAGATACGTGGCCAAACAGCACACTTGTCAAAAGAGCTGTGATGTCACTTGCACACGTGAGGCTGACAGAGATAAGAACAAACATCTTTTTTAGTAAAAACCCTATTTTTATAACGTACCTTTGGACACAATGCAATTGTTTCCTCCCCTTCTTTCCCAGGCAGGCACTTGAAATTAAGACATTTCTGGAGTGGGCAGCCCAGTTTATTAAAATCCATTGAACTTGAGTTCCAAGAAAATGGAAACAGTGTGAAAGAACATTGCATTTAGTGTTTGCCATTAGAGTTAGTGAGACTGATAATGACTAAAATATTTTTGATGTGCTAGAGTTTAATCCAGAAATGTAGGAGTTGGAGAAATTTCATGTTCTAAATTAGACTTGCTTTCCCTGAACTTCCATCTTTAAGTAGTAGCTTTTTAAGTTTGAAATTGGTCTGATTACTATTACTTTTTTTGGAAAAAACTACTGTCCTCTCCGTGGCTTGGCCTCTGGCATCCCCACGTATTAATTTAAATAAAAGGTATGGCTTCAATTGCTAATTGACAGTTTAGGCAGACACTCTTTACATAAGGCCAGGAAGGGCAAATGCAACTTGCATGTGCCAACTACCATTACAAATCTCAATTCTCATAATAAAAAAGGAGCCAAAGACAGAGCCCTGAGGCAAGTGGGTCTACTAAGTGGCAAATGTGGGAATGTGGGGCCAGGGCCAGGCTGCTCATGCGAATCACCATTCGCACAGTCGCCCAGTCCTGACTTCTTCCAGCTCTAAGCATGGCCTCTGCAGAGTAGCAACACACGCCCCCTGGAGAGCACAGGGCTGGCACGAAGCCCCCAGCCTGTGAGCCTCTCCCGTGGAGTCCCTGGGAGGACAGAGGCAAGCCCTGTTTCTTAGCAACTTCCCACACCACTTGCCTCTGATCCTGCTTCCTCTTTAAAGACACTATTTGGCTCAGCAGCAACCCAAGGCAGTGGGAATAAGGCTTGGTGTGTTGAGAACAGCTCCTGCCTCCTTGTGACAGCCAAGGCTGGTGAGGTTGTCTGGAATCTGACAAAGAGTAAATCTACTTTCCGCAAGTAAAAAAACCCTAACCACTTCAGTCACTCCATTAAAGCAAATCTAAATCACTCTGGAAAATAATACACTTTGAAATTCTCTGTCACATTTATAAAAATAAAAGGAAAAACAAAAAATTTCAAAGTTTAAAAAAAATCTTAAAAAAATGTTGCATTAATAGCCTTCTTAGTAACAAATACAAAACAGCTTAAGACACTTGGTGACTTTCTTAGGGCGTGTGTTGGGGGATAGACACACAGTGAGGTTTTACTACTAAAGTTATCTATTTGGTAAAAACTCTAGAAAGAGTTCTGTCAAAAAAAGACTGCTTTGGAAAGATGAGTTGCAACATTTTCCCAAAAAACATCAAAAAGAATAAGGATGTAAACACCACATATTTAAAATGTTAATACAACAATATTAATTCAGTCAAATAAATAAAAGAAAGTGGCACCAACTTTATGGCAAGTTTTCAAAACAAAAATGTAGCTCAAGGGTATTTTAAAATAAATAATTGCTCCAAACAGCAACAATCATTCTCAGCACAGACCAACAATGTTCAAAATAAAGTACTCTGAGGAAAAGTAGTTCCACAGACTTCAGCTTATTCACATATGAGCAGAGATGTTATCTGGATCTGTAGGTGTGAAATCTTCATTGTGAGGGAAAGTCAGCTTCAATAGAGGCCAGGGTTAGGGCCATCTTTTGTCATTTTTCTTTTTTCCTCCAGCGTGTGCTTAAATATTTTCTTCAGGGTGTTGTAAACTATTGGTCCATTTTCAGAATCAAAATTAACCTGGTGACAAAGAGATTTATATTCAGGACACTATAACAAGAATTTTAACCAGTTTCAATTTTGGAAGAAAAGAAGGAGTGGGGTGAAAAAAAAACTAAGACTTATAAACAGAACTATATATAATTTAAAAATACACATAAGAAATTTCACACATTTTTACTGAAAGACTATATCAGAATTGTCTGAAATCTTCATCGTGAAGGAAAGTCAGCTTCACTAGAGGCCCGGCTTAGGGCTATCTTTTGTCATTTAAAAAAAAAAATTTATTTTAAAGATGTGGGGTACCATTCGGGGTTAGGTATACAAATGTTCATTATGCAGGTTTTGTTTTTTCTTCCAGCATATGCTCAGAACTGTCAACCATGTCAATTCCAAACTTATGAATGAAAACTCAGAAACTTAATTTAGTGCCTGGATATAATCACATACACCTAGTCATGAAGCAAGTCAACAGTGAGGGTGAAATGAGTTTTAAATTCAGACTAATCATTGATGGTATGAGGGAAAAGTGTCCCTTACTAAAACGAAGCACATCAGCTGTAAGTGTCCAACTGAGAGGCCCTATGGCCACTCTGGGCCAGCGTGATCTGGAGGAAAGTCTGGCTTCCCCACCTACCAGTTATGTATCTTATTTCATACCCAACCTCTCTGGGTCTCAATTTCCTCTCTGTAAGAGAGAGATTACAATACCCACTTGCCTAAGATTTTCGATGAGCATCGATGAGAGCCTAGCACATATGTGGCACATATTAAAACCTCAATAAAAGTTAGTTTCCTTTCCCCTTGATTGGAAGGTACCCTGTACACATATTTGGACTCTTCATTCAAGTGGACGACACTCTGGGTTAGGAGTGATGGCAGAACAGAGGACTAGAACAAGGACCTTCTACCCCACTAATCCTATCCCAGAGTAATATGTGGCTCACTGAGAGAGAATCAGAGTCACACAGTCATTGCCTTTCCAGAGAAGGAATTTCTCCTTCTCTGATAATTTTCAAAGGGATGCTTGCTCTCTTTGCCAATAACTGTAAAAGGTCTGAAATTTACCCTCTTTATAAGCGAACCCATTACTTGCCAGTGTTATGGACACTGGTGGCAGGTTTGAGACTCTTGCGTCAGAGATAAACACCTTTATTCCTCACAGTTGCATGTGTTTCATATGCACATGGCTTCCCCTTGCCTTCCAGGTCGCATGAGGGAGATGCAGAGGGGCCCAGATGGAAGCTGTACAAGCAAGGGATTTGCATCATAGCCGAGGAGTTCCTATTTTTATAAGGGAACTGCAGACAAACCTGCCATGCTTGCCATGAAGGGAAATACCTTTATTACTCGGGAAGGCAGAACTACAGGCAGAGCTTTACAGACACTGGCCCCCAGATAGAGCTGCCAGTGCATCTGCTTCTGAAACTGTAAGACACAGGAGAGACCCAAGGAGAGCTGTTTCCTCACATTTTTATAGACAGATTTGAACAACTGCTATATTTAACTTTTCATAAGTATCCCTTTAAAAGGCAAAAAGATGTTGTAAAGCAGCGGTCCCCAACCTTTCTCCACAGATTTGGGGGGAGGGAATCATCAGGCATTAGATTCTCATAAGAAGTATGCAACCTAGATCCCTCGCACGTGCAGTTCACAATAGGGTTTGTGCTCCTATGTGAATCCAATGCTGTCACTGATCTGACAGAAGGTGGAGCTCTACTTGCCCACCACTCACCTCTTGCTGTGTGGCCCAGTTCCTAATAGGTCAAGGACTGGTACTGGTCCACAGTCTGGATCTTGGGGACCCCTGGTGTAAAGAATCCCTACTGCTTTCAGGAAAACCAATATTAAGGATTTTCTTTTTAGTCAAACTCAGGAATTTTATTTTCTCTTAACCACTATATTGTCTATCCTATTTGCAAAAACTCCTTATTGACATTAATCATAGTTTGAATTGTTTACTTTCTTAAACGCCAAGCCCCAACCCTCCTTACATGGTAGGCAGTCTCTGTCTGGGAAAATGCAAACATGGGTGTAAAGCATTATGTGATCTGGAGATGAGACCATTGGCTCTGGAAACTGTGGAGAACAGACTGAAAAGATGTCAGTGGATGGTGCTGTAAAATTCAGAGGAGGAACAAGGATGCCTGCAGTAGGGATGTCACTTCAGAAAGAGTGGAGGAGAAGAAGATTGAACAAATATTACACAGGAAGAATCTTCATAACTTGTGAATGAGTACAAAGAATACTATGTCTTTAATGTTATAACAGATGTTGTTATTCAAATGCTGGGCTGCTTAATGAGAGATGCAAAACAAATTAGCTGAAGAGGTGAGGGGGAATCTTGTATCTTGGTATGAACCTGGCTTCTTTCTTCAGTCAGGAAAAACTGCTGTGAGTCAAAAGGATGGGCTTTTAGGAAAACATGTTTTACCTCCTTCCTTAGGATTTGCCAACCAGGACTTAGTACTGACTCAGCAATGCTGGATGTTTAATTCTCAATAGCTGGCTTCATGTTTATATCAAAGGTAGAACTGGCTCTACAAGCAAAGATTTTGACTCCTACTAGGCACATGATTTAAAATATGTATTCGCTACTCAATCGCTTTTCTTTTCTCCTATATAAAAGCTCTTTGTTCCAACATTCTCCTTCAAAAAATCCACAGTGCAGCTTCTCCTAATATCACTGTTTGAAAACTTTTTTGGGGTCAAAACTCTGAAACGACTTATAAGAAATGTCAAATACATTTTTACAAAGGGAAACATATTTAAAAGTTTTATTTCAGAGGAGGATGGTGACCTCTGGATTCTGATTTTACCAAGACGATGTCAATTTGTGGTGCGGAAGGGAGAAAGGAAATGTGTGACCCACCTTAGTGAAAGCTTTAATGGCGTGGGCAAGGAAAGCTTCCTCCACTTCCACAGGAATTGTCTGCAGGTTCACTACGCAGTGCAATACGCAGAGAATAGTCTGGTGCTGCCCCTGGTTTCATAGAAATCAAAATCAAAAGTTGTTTGTAAAATGCCTCAAGAAATCAAAACAATCATATGGTCAAGAATTGGTCTGTGACCAAGTACTCATAATCGCAAATGCTGAAATACCTACCAAGAGCTCTACCAAATGTTTATAGTTATGTGTTAACATAGTTTGAAAAGCTTTCAGGAGATAATATCAAAGCTGGCTAGCTACTGCACAAAATACAACCGAATTTGAACATCAGTGCAATTTTAAACAAAGTATGTCTCGCAGTGAGCTGAGCTGAATAAATTTTCTCATCTTGTTGTTTCTGGATACAATCACTTCAATTTGACTAGTAGATGCTGACATATCATGGTAATGCACGGACTTATCAACCAGACACTGAGGGGGTAGGCCCTGCATACTCAGCCTGGTGCAGAGGCAGGCAGATGAAGAAAATGACAGCCCCAGTTCCCCAGGAGCAGTGCTATACTTAAGGAAGTAGCCTCCAACATAAGAAGATCCCCTAGAAACGTGACCACTGACTTGATTCCTGAGGGCTGTCTACCTTAGCAAAGGAGAAATTCCATCACCTTGAAGAACACATATCCAAGATGTAATGCATTGAGACCACTAATTTCAATTCTGGAAATCTACTCTAAAAGCATAATCTGAAAACAAACAAATAAACAAACAAAAAACCTCCACAGAATTATACGCCACATCTTTAAAAAAAAAAAATTAAAAGAACCCCCCCCACAAATTATCATTACAATGATGCCTATAAAAGTCACAAACATGAAACAATGTAAACACCCTAAACATGAGGGCTGGGTTGAATTATGATAAAATAGGCAGGCTCATGAGATAGAAAGCACACAAGCTTTGGGCCAGAGTGGTCTGAGCTTGAATCTTGTTCTGACATGTGCTGCAAACCTTGAGCACATTCCCTTATCTTTCCTTGTCTGTAAAACTGGCCTCTACCTCTAAGGACTATCGAGAGAAATAGAAGAGAAAATGATAATTATTTCCTAAAGGGTTTGGCCCATGGTTACCTGGCAAAGGGTAATCTTCTCCCTTATCACCTTCTCCTGTTTTATCTCTGTGATTTAATTTCTGAGATATCCTAAGAAAAGGACACTAGATACAGGAAAAACCTTTTCTTAAAAGATATGCATAGTGCAACTATGGTGTGTATGTATGAGTGTCTATGTGTGTGCATGTGTCTGTGTGTGTTGTCCCTGTGTGCATGTATGAACATGTGCTTGTATGTGATCTGTGTGTATGTGTCCATGTGTGTCCCTGGTGTGTGTATGTTTATGTATGTGTATGTATGTGTAGTCATAGTAGTAGAAGATTTTTTAGTGAAGATTGGGAAACAATGAGATGTCTATATTGCAGTATAGTAGGTAACTGAGGGCTGATTATTAGATAATATTGCTTCCTAAAACAAAAACAAAGCCTATTTTTAACTGGAAATTTAGTATCTCTATATGGTTAAAAATATTATATGAAAGGATTCATACAGTTTTTCCTCTTTCCTAGACCCACTGTCTTCCAGTTTCTTTCTCCAAAGGCAACCACTATTACCAGTTTCTTATTTTTCCTTCTATGGTCTTCTATATGTTATACATATACACATTATATGCATATACGTGTATATATATGACACATACCCCTTTTAAAAAATACAAATGAGTGCACATTTGAGTTTCCCCATATTTGTGCTCATAGCAAGTAGAAAAAAATACCTAACACTGAGCTGTGGTTCATTACAGCACATCTGCATGTTAGAGCATCATACCCATTACAGTCAATATTTATGAAAAGCTTACATTCTCCATGGGAAAATGCCTATGTTGTAATTTTGAGCAACAAGGAAGTATAAAGTTGCATGTTAAAATGATTTTTACTAAGTTAACATACATACTAATAAGATTAAATGACTTGAAGATGTTTATAGTAAGTGGCTCTCCCAGGATTAGGGACATTTACCCTTTTTATTTTAGTATTTTCTAAATGTTTGTACTGGGTATCAATGTCTTCTCTTATCCTGGAACAACTATTAGATTAGATTTGGATTCTGTATGAATTACCTTTTTTAGGTTAGATTTTTTTGTTAACGTATGGAACGCCGAGGGACTTAGGTAAAGTCATTAACTGGTTTAATGCCACTTTACCTTCTCTAATAAAAAGAGTGCTTCTGTGGCATCTGCTTGTCTATCAACCAACATGGCCACATCCTCTTTGGTGATGACAGGCTCCTTCAGCTGCTCCACCCAAGACCACATCAAACTGCACAGGATGAAAGGGTCCCTCTCGCCACATATCCTTTCCCAAGCTCCATCTTGGGAATTCAGTTCTTTCTAAAAAGTAAAAGAGATAGACATAAAGAGACAGGGAGAGTCGAGAAAGAGCTGCATCAACCAACACTGGATGATTCTTGTAATGCCCACGAGAGAGAAAGCCTCAGGCTCTAAGATCTGGGCCTCTCCCAGGCTCTCCATTTCCAGGCCAGACATGGGGTCAAGACATAGAACTTTTGTAAGCCTCATTTTCTCTTTTTGAAGCTTGTCCCCTGCCTCATAAAGAGTTGGGTTAACTGACTGAGATAAGGTCTGTTAAAGTTGTAGCACAGAGAAGGGGCATAATTAATCCATTTTCTACTTCATTCAGAAACCATAGAAACAGTTCAGGAAGACAGTCTTCCTTTTCAAGCCTCTAGTGAGCAAAATAAATATTTACTGCAATAAAGTAGATGGTAGATGAAAAAGTATAAATAAGGTAACATTTATAAATTAACTTGGGATCTAAAGAAAAGCTTTTAACTGAAACTTTGAATTGTGCAAAAAAAAAAAGTGCTTAAAAGTTGGTAAATGGGGTATATATATTTCTTTCAAATGTATTTTTGGAATTCTGTGTAAAAGTTAACAAGCCCCAAGTCCTTAAATTTGATGAAGGGAAAATAACTAGGAAGTTTCTAATACTCCAAATGCCTGGGGGAACTTTTAAGTGTGAGGTTTTACAACTTCACCTCACAAAGAACATAGGAACAGTGAGATAAGAATTTTAAAGTATCACAACTGCTACATTCATTCATTCATTCATTTGCCATCCAATATTCACAGCATGTGTACCATGGGACAGAAACTATAATACATGACTTTTGACTCTCATAGCACCCAACAGGAAGGTTCCTCACAGGTAAATGGACTGGGACTCAAGAAAGATGAAATAACTCCCTTGGGGGTCCAATGCTTAAAAATGGCAATGGAGGTGTTCACACCAGTCCTGCCTTACTCCACTCCAGAGACTGTGCTGTTTCTACTTTGTCACAAGGACCTTCTGGCACTGGGTGTTTATTATAAATAAGCTAGTCCTTTTAGTTGTTCATAGTCCTTTCTATCCGATAGGTCACGTATGTAACAGAGTAGCTTTTTATTAAATTTTAAGCAGATAATGAGGAGACAAGCTGGGAAGAACTGATATTACTAAAAAAATCACTTCGTGAAATGACTATTTTATCAAATTATGAATTTTGCAGCAACTTGTATGGATTTAGAGTCTGTAATACTCAGTGATTTATCACAGAAACAAAGAACTGAGTACCATATGTCTTCACTCATAAGTGGACCCTGAACAATTGTCATAATACTATAAGGGATTGGCAGTAGTGGGAAACTGCCAGGGTGGGGTGGAGGGAGGGGAGGCACACTTCATCAATAAGGGTGCCTGATCTCAAACCAGGTGGAGAAGGGACCAAAGTAAGGCCCAAACTTTACCTGTGCAATGACCATTTATAAACCTAAACCTGAATTTTATCCCACTTCTTTAAAACAAAATTTTTTAAAAAGCAAAAAAAAAGACAAATCTCATACAACATGTACCCAGTTATGAACACATTGCATACAAAGTCCTAAAGTCATATGACTCTGAGCAAGCCACTTAATCTCCATGACCCTCAGTTTCCTCATCTGTGATACTGAGTTCATAAGATGAACAAAGAATTTGAAAACAGTATCATCTGCCTCACAGATGTGATCTGTGATAACAGTGACAAATTGCATGAAATCATAAATGTGAAAGGGCCTAAGTATAGGCACAGGTAGCGTTACATTACTCAAATTGATGTTCATTTTATTCTTTTTTAGACTTTAAGTGATTCTTCTTTATTACTAAAAGTCCTAAAAGGAAATCTAGAAAGGAAAAAGAAAAAAGAAAAACAATCCCAGTAAAAGGTCTGTGATCACCTCTAGAAAATGTGTTTGTATAAGCTACATGTTGAAACAGTCTGGCATCCTGAACTCACTAGTGAAGGCAGAATTCACATGGGTACTCAGCCAAGGAGCATGTGGCCCTGACCCAGGAATGTGAGAAGAGATGTTTCAGCTACAACAGGAGACCTTCTTGCTTACTAACTCTTAATATACAGTTATACATGGGATATATTTGCTGACTGAATGGAAGACTTTTTCAGTTTGGAGTAGGAAATAAAATAACTCATCTTGGAAAAAATCAATACATTGAACTATGGTTAAGCAAAACACTACAATTCTGATGAACAAAACTTCTATCAAAAGTTCTCTCCTCTCATCATACAATTGTAAGTTTGTGGAAAGCTGCAAACTTAATTTTCATGGCTCTATATCTGAGGCGGTATTGGCACTCTTAGAAATTTTATACGCCTTGCTTAATTAATAACAGACTATGGAAGAGAGCTATTAAAATAATTCACAGTAGGTTATGGGCTGACAAGTCAAGATTTCACTGGGTTAGGACTCTCCAAGTCAGCCTCCTTTTGGGGCTGTTTCTGATAACTAGGTTTATGAAGCCTATCTTTTCTCTATACCAAGTGCTCATTCTGGGCAAAAAGAGTACAGCTAGCTGACTTAAGACTGTCTTCCTAGTAAACGTACAACACAAAAAGGGGCTAAAACTTTACATTCCAATTTAAGTAAAAGCTAAGAAAGGATCCTAAAGATTTCATCTCAGATAGAACTAATGGCACATAGTGGTTTGTGATACCTCCCATCTGCTGTCCTGAATTCCCATAGTTGCCCTTCAGAGCAGGACTAATAAGTGTAAGAAGGGGATACTGAGGAGACAGTATCACTCTTCTGACCTCACTTCAGCACTCGTGTTGATGAGCTTTGGAAAATTATTTTATTTATGTCTCTAAGTCAGTGGTTCTCAAAGTGTGGCTCCCTCTGCTAATCCTTCAGATTAGAGATATTTTGGGTCATTCCTGATGCTGTCTGCTACGGGCTGATTGCCCCCACAAACCCAGCGAGAAAAAAGGAAGCTGTTAATATCAATGCCTACTGTGAGTCAAGCTTGTGCTAAGTGCACACAGATTTAAATGAAAACACAAAACTACCTGGTGTTGTTTCTGTAACATCAGGTTTGCATCACAGCTGAGAAACCTGAAGTATTTAAGTATTATGCAAATATATCTTCACATTTTTATAACGAGTAAATGTGGGAAAATAAACTACATTTTGAGCCGGGCTCGGTGGCTCAGCCTGTAATCCCATGCTTTGGGAGGCTGAGGTGAGTTGGATTGCCTGAGCCCGTGGGTTCGAGACCCGCCTGGGCAACTTGGTGAGACCTCATCTCTACAATAAATAAAAAAATCAGCCGGGCATGGCAGTGTGTGCCTGTAATTCCAGCTACTTGGAAGGCTGAGGTCGAAGGATCGCCAGAGTGCAGTGGCCACTGCACTCCTGTCTGGGCAACAGAGTGAGACTCCAACTCAAAAAAATAAATAAATAAAAATAATAAATACACATACACACACACACACACACACACACACACTACATTTTGGCTGTAACATAAATATTATCCACATATCTATAATTAAATGAAATGATAATACCTGCCACATTTCCACCTTCCTTTTCACTTCTTCCTTTTCTACAAATTCATTTAAATTTGCCAGGGCTTTGGCTGCCAGTATTCTCCTTGCTTCAACATTCAATTCAGATTGAAAAACAGGGTATGGAGCTGCTTCAGACAAGTCTTTGCTGTTCTGGGTTTCATGTCCAACCGAGAGCTGTGCTTTAAGACTGGAGCCACAGTCCAGAGAGCTTCGTGGAGCCCTGCCATTCTTCTTGACAGAGCCAGGGCCCCAACTACCATGAGCTTCACATCGACAGTAAGATGCTTGCTGGTGAGAAGGGTTTGCATCCTTATGGACATTTGAACAGTTGGGCAAAACTGGTTCCCCAGGACTGTGTGAGCCTGAAACACCAGTAGAGAAGGCCCCATTCTGCTGTGTTTCCTTTGGAATGTTCCCTCCATGGAAAATTGGTGACCCATTATCTTTGAGTCCTTCCAAGTCTCCAAACTTTGGCTGACTCCAGAAAGAAAATGTGCTGCGAACCAAGGCTTCCTTATGTAAATCCACCTCTGGAGACTGTGAGACATAGTGGCTTATGGGCTTCTGCTGCCTGGGGTTGTGACCAAGTAAGACCTGGGTAGGCACCATCCGGGGAGTCTCCCCTTTCTCCAGGAGGGACTCTGCCCTCTTTAAATCTGACTCACTGTAGCTGAGCTGCTTTTTCAGATGAGTCAGGGGTTGAAGGCACTCAACATTCTGCCTCTTCCAAAGGGGGACAAACTCTTGCTCACTGGAAAGAATCACATCTCGATTCTCAAAATCTGCCGCTACTGCAGTAGGGTTAAAGGAGTCGGATGTGTCACTGTCATGCCTCAGTAACTCTTTATCTAGTCGCATTGTGACCATCTCAGACACGGTCTTTTCAATTTCAGCAGAGAGACCAGGTCCTTTAGACACGTCCTTTATTATCACTGGCCTATTCTCAGCTAAGTCCAGCAGCAATTTGCAAATAAGGTGGATAATTTTTGGTATGTGTTTCAGAAGTCGTGCCTCATAACCATGAAGCAGATGACGCTGGCGAATTAGATATTGTGCTAAGGTGACAGCATGTGCTTTGGGATCACAGCAAGAGAATATATTGCGGAGAGGAGTCAGAAACTGAGTAAATTCCCTTACACAGAGTAGCTGTCCTCTGGTCTGTATGGAATTGGGTCGCTTTGCCCGCACAAATATAATTGCTTGGTCAGCAGTCATTCTTGTTGCAAAAACTAAGTAGCAAGCTATTAAAACACCTAAACAGTGAAGAAGACTGGTATGAGAAAAGCTTATATTTTTGTTTATTTTATCACTCTTTAATGATTTAAAACTTGAATATGTGTTAAGAAACCATATAGATATAGGTACATTTCAAGGACGATGATGGTAACATTGTGACTTTTTGTATAGGTGTTTATTACTGCATTCCTCTTACTGTGTAGAACTTACAGTGTATTACTGCATTCCTTACTGTGTAGAACTTACAGGTCTATGTGGCACCCCTCTTCCCGAGACTGAGTCATCTCAGTACCCCTGAGCTGCGCTGGAGCTGTGCTAGCACAGGCACTGACACCATATAGGAGAGTGAGTGCAGCAGAGGAGGGAAACTGAATAACTGAATATCTGGCCCATATATCCTCCTTGCTTTATTCAGCTGTAACTGAGAAGAACACAAATCCTGCTTCTATTTTTCACTCTGAACAGCTCTCAAGAATTACCATTAAATGCATCCATCCACTCTGTGCCTGAAACCTCCTACTCTGCCATCCTTGTCATCAACTGCTGGCACATCCCAGCCTGGAACATTTCCTACTTGGGCAGTATCTTCTTTGGTGATTATTTACAGTCACAGCCTACTTTTCTTCTTGACAATTCTTCCAGACTTGTGTCTACACTAATATGTGTTTTTCTCTAGATTATGACATAACACTATTTTTCTTTAAGCAGTTATGGAAAATTAAGTAATTTTAAGGAAGTCATCCTTAATAGTGTAAACATGTACACTATATTCTTATTGACAAATGATTAAAAGGAGTAACTAATGAAAAGGTAATAATTAATTTAGATATAACAATTAATATTAAAGCAAGAGGCCAATCACCTGTGTGATTCACAAGTCTGTGACCCTCTTGTCATTTATGAAAATCAGAACCTCTGGAAACTGCATGATCTCCAGTTCATAGTAGGGAGCAGCATATCTTTCTCACCAGGACATGGCAGACCTCAGTATGAGTGTGAAGTATCTGCAGGGCTGTCATGTCAATGCTTAGAAATAGCGAGATTTCAGCTCAGCCCCAAGAGCTAATGATCTGGAGCAGAGCTACGGTCTATCTGAGATACTCTTGAGCAGGTGGAGGATCCCCTGGCAAATGCACAGGTACACATGGATGGAATCTGGTCAGATCAGGTGACAATGAAGATTTCAACCCTAAGGCCTTTATTTTTGCCATAATAGCAGCATTGTAATGAGATTCTGCTGACTTTTTTTTAGCAAGATTACTGATCTTTATATGGAATTCTAGGCATAGATAGCTCTCTTTCACATACAAAATCTTTACACCTCCAAAAATAAAAAGCACCTGAGCTTTGGAATCAGGCAGCCATGGAGTTAAATCCTAGCTCTGCCACTTACTAAATGTAGAAAATCATTTAACTGCTCTTGAACTACAGTTTTTTCAACTCACATTGCTGCTAAAGATTTTTATATGACATACGTGTGGTCGTTGTAATAATCTGTTTAAAATATTTCAAATACCTTAAAAAAATTTTTAAATTAACTTAAATTTTAAACTGACATATAATAATTGTATATATTTATGAGTTATGCAACGTTTTGATACGTATAATGAATGTATATTGATCAGAGAGATCAGTGTAATTAGTGTAAAATGATATCCATCATTCCAAATATTTATAATTACTTTGTGTTGGGAATGTTCAGTATCATCCTTCTATCTATTTGAAACTATATAACACATTATTGTTACTATAGTTATCCTACAGTGGTATAGAACACAAGAACTTATCTACTTCTTCTACTTGTCTCCAAAGCTTCGTAAGATTCTGAAAAATATTTAACCTTAGAATTAGGAAATCTTACAAAAGACAATAAAACCACCTGTTAAGATTTACCTGTTCGACCAAGTCCTGCATGACAATGGACAGCTACTTTTCCTTCCTGTAAGGCAAATGTCATTACCTTCACCATATCCAGGATGGTGGTAAGAGATGCTACGCCATAATCCTTCCATCCAAAATTGTAGAAATAAACTAGGCAGCAAAAAAGAGAAAAAGAAAAGAAGATATATATGTGGGACAAATACTTGCAAAGATTTTTGAAGAAAGTGAATGAATTCATAAGTATAAAGCTGTAAGGCATGTAGACTCATAGGTTATGCAGACCTAAAATAATAAGCTTTTTATATTTCCAGTAAATTTATTGTTAACATTTCCTCACAAAGCACATTTTATATCACTTAAGACATTTCCTGCTGAAACTCAGCTGGAAAGAGTTATGGAAAAGTAGAATTACAAGTTAATAAAGCCAATAATCCAAGCTCAGTTACTCAGCTATGGAGGAGAAGCATATGCTCTTGTTTAAGTAGGAAACATGTCTAAATGACTGATCAATAGCTAAAGACAGTATATGTAGATTTTCTACCAGTGTATATATTTTAAAAAAAAGCTAGATGCAAGCTTCTTAATAACAAGTTCCAAGATTGCAGGTTTATTCTTTCCAGTTTGATTTGAAGGATACATGTTGAGCAGATTCCAGCCCAAAGCTCCTGTGATTGAGAAACCTCTGGGATTGTCACAAAAAGAATCCCTAGTGTCCTTCTGGGGTTAGGGCTGTGTAAAAGCATGAGCACGTCCAGGTTCCATTCCTGACTGTCATTTCTAAGCTGCATGATCTTGAGCAAGTCAGTAACTCTCTAAGCCCCTGTGGCCTCATGTAAAACAGAAATAACAACAATGAGGTTACACAATTGCTTTAAGGATTATGTGAAATAACAGTGTCTGGCATACTGCAGGCATTAGATGTTAGCTCATCTTCATTTTTTATGAGCCCTACTACTATGCAGATCGTGTTCATTTCCATCATCTTTTTAACCTAAGAAACAAGCAGAAAAAAATCTCTGAGTGCTGTCCTTGATAATTCAAGAGAGGAGATTGGGAATAAACTTACTGCCAGCCTCCATGAAAGCTTCTGGAAGGTATGTAAAGCCACTCTCTTGTTCCAGAGGATTCCCACAGCTAGCATGCTCACCAGGGCGCTGGAGGTTGATTATTGTTTTTATGCCATGGCTAAATAGAAAAAGAACAATTAGTTATATTATGAGCCAGTATTTTAAAAAAATTAACTATTTTTGTCATGAATAAACATAATATATTAATTTCTCTAAAAATCATAACTTTTTATTTAAAATAAGCGCTTCACTACCTTTTGTTTTAATGAAAGCAACTTTTCACTTAAAGCCAAAAGCAATGAAAGGAAAAATGCAGGCCTCTGCTCTGTACAGGGGTGAGGAACAGAGCTCTTACCTGAGGAACTGCTCAATGATGTGGTACTTCTCCAGGAGCTCTGAAGATGGGCGGGCCATGGCCAGGATACTATCAGTGACCCTGCAAGTGGGAAGAGGAACTGGTGAGATGTACAGAACCTAGAGCATACCAATCTGGAGGACTGGGAAATGACTTTTTCTATGATTCCAACAACTCTGTAAGAATATTCTTATACAAACCTGGCTTCAATTTTGAATGATTAGAGCACTAAGGAACTCTAGTTCCTTACATTCCTGGAAAAAATTCCAGGACATAAGTTATTTGAGGATGTCAGTAAAGTGTTTTCAAGGACTCTTAAGACATTCTAGTGGACACGATGGGGAAACCTCATCTAGAGGCAAAGGTAACAGTGTATATTAGTTATCCCATAGTTAGTGACTAAATGAAGGTCAACTGAGAGGCATTTCTGGTTACTCAACTATCTGAACCTCAGTTACCTCAGGTGTTAAGTGGGGATAATAATGCCTGCCTCATAGTGTTGGTATGAGAATTCAAATTCGTTATGATGTGGCTGCAAAGTCTCTAGCACAAATCTTGACTTACGGCTATGAAAAAATGTTGAATTATTGTAATTTGGCAACAAATACGGGCTCCAGAGTCAGCTGAGCCTGGTTTCAAATGCTGGCTTTTCTACTATCTAGCTTGGTAGCAAATTACTTAGTCTCTCAGGAACTCAAATCCTTTATTAATAAAATGGCATAGCCGGGCTTGGTGGCTCAGCCTGTAATCCCGTGCCTTTGGGAGGCTGAGGTGAGTGGATTGCCTGAGCCCGCGGGTTCGAGACCCGCCTGGGCAGCAAGACCTCATCTCTACAATAAATCAAAAAATCAGCTGGGCGTGGTAGCGCGTGCCTGTAATTCCGGCTACTTGGAAGGCTGAGGCGGAAGGATCGCCGGAGCCCAGCAGGCGAGGCTGCGGTGGCCGGGAGCGGCCACTGCACTCCAGTCTGGGCGACAGAGTGAGACTCCAACTCAAAAAAAATAAAAAATAAAAAAATAAAATGGCATTAACAACTCTTAAGAGTTTTATGATAATAATTTGAAAGCATCTAGCACAGCACCTGGCCTATAGTCAAATGGATGTTTACTAAACAAATGAATGGACAGAGGCTTAATAAATAGCTGTCACTCTTATTAAACCTCTGGTTTTACTCTGCTCAAGTCTCTTATCAGTGACCTGGTGGAATATACAGAAGGTAGTCTATTGGAGACTGTGGGTCCCAAGAATCTCAGAGAAGTAAGAGAGATACCAGGTTAGCAAGGCAGGATCCGAAAAGACATTTGTCCCTCTGGAACAATGCATGATATTTAACCTGCGATCTCCAAAACTTTGTATAAGATGAGGGGAGGTGTAATGTGAAAGCAGCAGAGGTGAAAAGACTGACATGGCTTAGTCAATAATAAAACAAAAATATTAATGTGACCTTAGGTTACATTACTACAAATGTTCTTGTCTGTCTATGCTTTAGGAATAATGTCTGCTTCTTCATATCATTAATGTGACAGTGACAGACCAGAACATGATCTGTGGAGAACAGTAATGATAGTGGACCCCACACTGTGTCACTACAAATGTACCCAGCAAATCTAATGTGAAAAAGGACTGATGTGAGTTGGATATGCTGGTTGACAAATACCTAATTTAAAAATAGGTTCTTTTTCTTTTTTGAGTTGGAGTCTCTGTTGCCCAGGCTGGAGTACAGTGACATGTTCATGGCTACCACAGCCTCCACCTGCTAGGCTCAAGCAATCCTTCCACCTCAGCCTTCCAAGTAGCTAGAACTATAGGCATGTACCACCACGCCTGGCTAATTTTTCTTTTTTTTTGTGGAGATGAGGTCTTGCTATGTTGCCTAGACTGGTCTCGAACTCCTGAGTTCAGACAATCCTCTCATATCTGCCTTCCATAGTGATGGAATTACAGGCATGAGTCACCACGCTCGGTTTAAAATGGGTTCTTGATGTAAAAAAGAATTCACTATTAGAATTCTTTAGACAGTGAATTCCTCTAAGTGGGTTTCAAATGTGATTTGACTATCAGAATTTTTTAGATGTCACCACATCAAAAAAAGGTCTATCTGACTAGTTTACTGCTACTAATAAAAAGCAGTATGATTCAAGAACAATATTAACTGCACTTTCACATCATAAACAAGCAAATATCTTAAGTTGTCTATGAGTTGACACCTTGTACCACTTCTATTATGGCAGACTGAAGGGTATTTGTGTGGAAATGTGTCCTTTTATATAGAATATAGGAACACCATAAAAGTTAAAGCTTACCTGCATTCAACTGAGAAACTACATGTGCCCTTTATAATTTTCACAAGCTTATACACAGCTGAACATTTTTATTATTTCTAGAAATTTCTGATTGTTCAGAGTTATCCAATTACCCATTTCTTTAAGACACTTTACATACATCACTTCATTTAATTAAGATAAACTCTATGGTTTTGGCTTTATTATTTCCATCTTGGAGATAAGGAAACTGAGTTTCACTGGGCCAAGATCACACCACTGGTCTAGGGTGAAGTGAGGTCCTGACTTCACAGCCCCACATTGCGCCTTCTGTGTTAGAGAGCTCCTAGCTCTCACACAGCTTCCTTCCTGTGTCCTACAGAGCTACGAGACCCACAGGACCACTTACCAGGACGAGTAAACCCCCTTGATGGCTTGCTCCTGCTCACTCCAGCGGGCTGGGTTTTCATACTTGCACGCTCTACCACCACATGCCATGGAACATGCCATGTGTCCAGGAATGACATGACGTAAGCGCTCTCCTACTTTTGTGTATTTGGGTGTTGGACGTTCTGAATTTCCTAGAATACACAAGAAAGGGAAAATTCAAAATTTCACTCTCTAAACAAAACAGTAATATGGGAAACAGCTCCATTTTATCTTACGATGGTAGATGATAAGCCAGTGCTAAATCTCCTCCATCCTGTCAAGAAAACAAAACTTCCTTTTTTATCTGAGTGATCTATCGCAACATTAAAAAGCTTTCCCATACAATAATTCCCACATAGTTTGGTAACGAAAGGGAAGAAACTATCAAAGTAGATCTTTCACAAGGGGATGAGTTTTGTTCAAAATTATATTTTTGATTTAAAAAAAACACAATTCAACCATTTCTTCTCCTCCTACATATCCACTAAAATACTTAGCATAACAGACAGTAAAAAGTATAACGTAGAATAAACTGTCAATATTTTAAAAGGCATAAACAAAGACAGCCTATTCACATTCCTTCAATTTACATACAAAGGTGTGGCAATCTACAAGAAGAAAGAGAGCTTTACTTTTTCTTCCAAGGAAAGTTGGGCTCCCCTCTGCACAGCTGACTGTAGAAACAGCCACCATCACTTGGAGAGAGGACGAGGACAGCAGTTTGGTGGCAGAGCCACAGCCAGAGCTTCGCTGGGCCTGCTGCAGCCGCACTACTGGGTCTGAGGTGGAATGCCGGCGGCCCTGGAGAAAGGAGCTGAACAACTGCACGGCTGAGGGCCACCGGGGCGCGTCCTGTACCTGCATGGCGCTGGGTTTCAGGGAGCAAGAGCCGGAGGCAGGCAGAAGTCAGCCCGTGTACTACTCAGTGAGGAAGTTACACTGAGAAGCAAGCATCACTCTGTGTGTTCTAAGAGCCATTCAGGATAGGCTGACTGGTTTCCATAGTGACAAACAAAGGAACTACTGATTCCCACTAAGATCTGAACAGGCAAAATTCTATATGAACAGACTGTGTTCTGTACAGATTGTTCAAACATAGGGAAGAGTAATATGCATTTTAAACAGGTTATTCCCGAATCTAGACTACCACTACCCTATTTTGTCTCTCACAGGCACTTGAAAGACCTGACCACTCAAAGAATTACCACCCAAAATATTGTATAAATTTAGAGTAATGTCTTCATGATGTTTTATATACATATGAAAAGGTTTTAAATCCTATTATGCCTTTCATAGCTATTCTTTGCATATTTTGAAAAAAAAATCTCTTTCTACTCCTCTTTGGAACAAGGTAGATAAAAAGTTAATTATAATTAAGTGAGATATGCTGGATACCTTACAATATTATTAAATTATTCAATTTCTCATAACCAAAACTGCCTGTTTTTTCTTAACAGAACTGTCAAACACTTGAATCGAACAAATAAAGACATTTTTAGAGCTGATAAATTATCAGAAGATATTGATTTCATATTTTTTCAAAATATAAAAGCCTGATTCTTGGTTATGCCTTTATTGGATAGTTATAGTAGTCATGTCTCTCAAAAACTAAAAAAATACCATTTTCTGCCTTTTGTTGCAGTGGGGAAAAAAGAAGTTCCAATAATGCCTTGGTGGAGGCATATAAAGGAAACTCACTATGTATCACATTTTTTAAGGAACTGGATGAGGGGGAGGTTGGAACTTGAGGATAAAGGATATAAAGAAAACAGAAGTGCAACAACTGCTAATGTGTTCATTGTCCGCCTCCTCCCTCATTAATGTCAGGCTGTACCCGCGCTCGCTCACTCTCTCTGCACAAATGGTATTTCAGTCATGTGTGCACAGAAACTAACTACTGTACTCCCATGGATAAGACTCTTTTTTGTTTTGTTTTAACAATTACTAATGCTCTAAGTTCCTTTTAAAATGCCGCCCCCATCTCCTCAATAATATGCACTTTTGTCAAATAAGACAGGGACATAGAATCCTGATTTGGTGCCCGGATTTCTACTATGTGTATTATTATTCCCTTGTTATTTAGAATATAGCAATGGAAAACATCTTATTAATGTCACCAATCCAAACCAGCGCTTTGGGAGGCTGAAGTGAGTGGACTGCCTGAGCCTGTAGGTTCGAGACCCGCCTGGGCAACTTGGCGAGACCTCATCTCTACAATAAATTAATGTCACTAATCCAAAAAGCACAGCTTTCTTGTAGGAGGAATGAACTGAGGAATAGTCTGGACAAGGCCCATAGGACCCTCAGGGCAACATGGGAAGAGCTGCACAGAGGTTTGCTTGACAGGAAAGTGAACCTGATTGCAGAAGGCCCTAAATGCTCAACTAAGGAGTCAAGCATGTGTATCAGGTTAATGGGGAGTCTAAGAAAGTTTCTGGGCAAGTCTCTGTGCTTCTGAGTGGGTAGCACACAGGCGGGTTAACTCAGTCCTGGGGAGAAAAGACTGGAAAAGTTATATGGTGACCTATAGCTGGGGGTGGCCAGCAGCTGTGTGGATGGGGGATGCTTCAGGGGTAGACCGCCATGGTGTTGCAGGACAGGGAGCTGGAGGTGATGCTACGATTCCACCTTAAGTTAGCAGGGAGAGACTGCACCCAGTTAACACAGGAGCCCATGCACAGGAGGTGGGAGAGAAATCAGTAAGCTCAGTCTAAGACACAAGGTACTTAAGGCAGCAACTAGGAGGTCTAGTCAGTAAGTGATGCTGAAGGACTAGTATCCAAGGACATCTACAGAAGAAAGTCATAAGTGACTCAAATGGCACTGAAAATGAAAACTAATTTCATTAGATAAGGGGCAGAACTTATTTGGACCAAGCTAAGGAAGGACTAGTTTACAGATCACCTCAAGAGTAATTTCTGTAGTAAAATCTTGGGACCTGGGCTGACCTCAAATAAACACAGAACACAGTAGTGGACCTGTTACTATACAGTCAGTGACCTTGTGTCAGTGTCTAAGGAAGTTGAGCCTATTACACACAGAAATCTGTGAGGTAGACTCAGCAGTGGGGCATCAATCTGTAGACGAAGTGAAATCTGTCCACCTCTGAACATGAGATATGAGCATGTGAACCTTCCCTTCCCCATCTGTCTGAGGGCTGCTCCAAAACTACTCCCTGGAAAAATGCCCAATTCACAGCACAAGCCATTTTTAAAAACTAGCTTTATTTATGCCACAGATAGCTTTACAGCAGGAAACTGTGCCTCCAGTCCCTGCCCAACATCATGCATGGCTTCTCGTCCCATCCTTGTCCATACAGATAGCACTTTTTTCCTGTTTTTGCCAAACAGTATCAAAACACTTTCCCATTCTGTTTTTGTCTTTTCTTAATTTTCATTTGATGGATACATCAAGCTGATGCACCATAACTTACTGAATCATTCCTTAGCTAGCTATTGGACATTTAGGCTATTGTCAATGATTTTTATTTAAAAATAAGATGTTAGGCATTTTAGGACTAGAATCTTTTTATATTTACATTTCTCCTTCAGTAAATTCTCAGAGATGATATGACTGATGAGCAAAACTAATTTTCAAAGCTCTATGAAGTCTACAAGTTTTAAGAACTTTTATGAAGAAGTTGAAAGAAGGAACATTTTTAGCAACTTAATGGATGTTTTTTCTGGGCTCAGAGAGAAATACAGCATTAAAACAGAGATTAAAAAAGACACGGTCTTGGTCAAGGTTCTGTGCCAATCACCTTCACCCCAAAAACCTCATCATCTCTACCACTTGTTGCCCTCATCATCTCTACCACTGTGTGCACTTGTAAGCAGTTATTCACAGCATGTGCTAAAAAAATTAGCAAACAACCTTAAAGGGATTATTTTCCAATTCTTAGAATAAAAGATTTTACACTTACACCAAACTGGTCTCTCTTTTTGTATTCTTTTCAAAATATTTTGTAAATTTTGTGTGTCAATTTAGTTTGCTACATATACTCATATGTCTCGCTTCATTCATCTGTAACAAAGCATATTTATTCTATTTAAAAACTGATAGAAATTTAAATTAGGATGAATTATAAACCACTGATGATGAACTGGTCAGACTCTTAGAAATAACATTAAAAAAATATTTTTTTTTGAGGTAAGTTCTCACTCTGTTGCTCAGGTTGCAGTGCAGTGACATGATCACAGCTTACTGCAGCCTCAACTTCCTGGGCTCAAGCGATCCTTCTCCTTCAATCTCCTGAGTAGCTGGGACTACAGGTTCGTCCACTAGGCCTGGCTAATTAAAAAAAAATTTTTATATGCCCTGAAGAACACAAATCACTCTATAAAAAAGATACCTGCACACGTATGTTTATCGCAGCGTTGTTCACAATAGCAAGAACCTGGAAACAACCATGCTGCCCATCAAAAGGGGACTGGATTAAAAAAGTGTGGTACATATACATGATGGAATACTACGCAGCCATAAAAAAGAACAAA